GACGTTCAAATACAAAATAGATCTCATGGAAGCTTTTGCCAGCATCAAAGTATGAAAAAACACATTCCTGCGGAAGGAGCTGGTAGGAACGTTGGGTTGCTCGGTCAATGGCCAGGGTCAACGGCAGCACCACGTGGTGTATTCCGCAAATATGCCTGACTGTGAGGGCGGGCACAAGCCGGCGTGAGTAGGTTAAATGTTGAGTTTTTTAAGGGCACCACGGGGTGACCAGCCCCTCCCCACCCAGCTCCACCCCTCCCACCCCCCAACCAGCCCCACCCTCCCCACCCTCCCCACCCAGCCCCTCCCCATGCTCCACACCCAGCCCCTCCCCACCCTCCCCACCCAGCCCCTCCCCACCGTCCACACCAAGCCCCTCCCCACCTCCCCACCCAGCCCCACCCTCTCCACCCAGCCCCTCCCCACCCTCCCCTCTCCACCCAGCCCCACCCCTCCCATTTTTGGATGCACGACGAACGGACGGACACAATAATCCCCTGTGGGCTGGTGTAATCAGGAGGTTCCTACCAGTATAAGAATAGGTTTAACCCTTCTCTGAGAATAAAACAGGCGTTGTGTTAAGACGTTCAAACACCAAGGCATCAAGTCTGTATTAACCACATGTACTTGTGGCAAAACATGCAAACAATTTGCTCTGATAATGGAAACATTGTCTTCGAAACTGATTGGCCTACACCAGAGCCAGCCTTTTTTTATTATGGCCTCGTCTCACCAGTGTCAAATCAGAGAAGGCCAAAAAGGCTAACAGAAAGGTTAAAACCTATTCTTATTTTTCATCATTTTGTATACTGGCAAAAAGGTCCGACAGATACAGATTGTGTTTCGCAACGGAGCCTGATAGGCTACCTCGTCCATCCATCCATGTGTCTGTCCGTGTGTCCGTCCTTCTGTACGTATGTCTGTCCATGTGTCCATCCGTTTGTCTATCCATAGGTGTGTCCATTCGTTTGTCCATCTGTGTGTACATCACCGTGCATCTGTCCCTGTGTCCATCCGTGTGTCTATCCATCTGTCATTCCGTGCGTCTATCTGTCCGCGTGTCTGTCCACGTGTGTCCGTCCATCTGCCAGAGGGCACATCACAAGTAAACTACAAAACCCCCAAATCCCAGTACTCAGATGCTCATCCACGCGTGGTAGCATTGACAAGGAAATACTTCCAAAACGGCATTTTTACTACGAAAGGAAACTAATGTTGTTGCGAGTACCGGTGCGATTCGTGCGCGCGTGCTGCATAAGGCACACGCGTGCACGAACGCGTGTGCCTTACGCAGCACGTGGAATTAACGCACACGCGAATATCATCGCACAGCGAAACCCCCCTGCTGCTCATATTTCTCTCCGGAGGTAAAGTCCAGGCGATTTGCTGCTCAAATTGAGCGTTCAGAGACGGTGCACTTCTCGGAGGGCAGCGGTGGCAATTCCACATTCCCATGGCGGAGGTGAGTCTCAAATGGGACAACCGCTGATTACTTCGTCACGAAGTGGAGCTTGATTCGTTGACCCCAGATGGATGATGGGTTGAGTCAACACCTTCCATCCCCCTCGGCCAACCAGGATTTGAACTTTGCTCTACCATTGAGCTACTGTCAAGAGGAGGGGGATAGACACTCAGGGGATTGCCACAGTCTGTGTGCGTGTGTCTATACAGTCGTGTGAGATTGAGTGTATAGACTGCATAGACTGTCAAAATATACACACCGTGTGTGTATAGACTGTCTATATATAGGGGGAAGTGGAGCGGCGATTAGCACACTGCGGTACGAACCCAGCGACCCGAGTTCGATTCCTGCTTACGGCCAATACCATGGATGGTTATCGGAACTGGTCCTGGGCCTCCTTCCCGACGTCGACTCTGGTGCGGTGTGTAAACATCGCCACTGGGGAGACAAAGGCGGCCGGGCGTGGTGCTGGCCACCCACCCCCGTGTGTACCGTGCCGGGCTTTATAGGTGCTCGCTATATGTACTTGCCCCAAAAGTCTGTTTAGGCTATACGGGGGGTCTTTGTCTTTATATATGTAGGATATTTAATATTTATGCGCATCAATTGTTGTTACTGCAGCAACGGCAGATTAAAGACAATAATAGCAACGTCGTTTATTTCATGCTGGGAGGAAGGGTGACATTCTGAACATCTGCCCTTCAAGGTGTGGATGATATTTGTCCGTACGCATTTTTACGGAACGCCGCCACGGTATAACGGTAAGCGCACCGGACTTGCTATCCAGAGGGCCGTCGGTTCGATTCAATCTCCTGGCGCGGCGGTTTCTAAAATCTCCCCCACCTCCCCACCACCACCCGATTGTAAGGTCACGTGTGGTGGGGTGAAGCCTGGGTGATCCCATCTCAACCCCAGACATCGCGGCCAGCGTTGGGAAGAGGAGGAAAAAATACACTCTGTCGGTGGCTCTCTGGAGCCGCATCTAGGTGGAGGTTCTATTCCCGGCAGTGGCGGGAGCGAGCAATTGCAGGGCTGCGCCTTTACCGCATTTTCACCCGCGCGCTCGCACACACAGAGACGAGGACCCGTTTACTGGATAGCCCTATGGTAACAGTGGTGTAGGCGAGCGCCTATCAATCCTGCCACTTTGCACGAGGAGGCGTGGGCAGTGCTGCACAACCAAGCAATTGCCTGGCTCCTCAATTTTGATATTGACAACTCTGCCTTCACTGTAAGCTCAAACCGACCTATCTATACTCGTACACACCGGGACATCGATCCCTCCATTTAATCCCATAGACAATTGGACGTGTGCTGTTAGCGAGCCCTTATTAAGGCCATCATGGCGTACGAAAGGGGGTAGGTAGTGTGTCCAGAGCGCCACGGCGGTAAGATGTCAACTGCCTTGCCTGGTTTACAGGAGGTCGTGGGGTTGATCCACCCCGACGCCTGCTGTATATTTTAGGGTTGCGTGTTCTTCCCCTGGTCGCGTTAATTTTTCTCCGGTTCATCCAGTTTTTCCCTCCGCATTCAGAATCAACGTCACGCATTGAGGGTATTTGGCTGATATAAATTTCCACGTGATGATAAGCCACTTCGTCCAGCTATAATTTTTAATAGCCAGGCCGCTTCTGAAAAAGAGCTACATAGCTCAGTGGGGCCTTAACTGAAAAAAATAAAAAAATTGTTTAGAAGAAAAAGTAAATTAAAATAAAATAACCATATCCGGCCAGCTTTGTCTCCCCAGTCGACGTTCGCACAACAAATCCGCCGGGTACTCATTTAAGGCTGAATCAAGGCCTTTGTACCGCTGCGTGGGTTTGGTTTGGTCTCTGAGGTCATCTCCCACGTGAAGCCAAGCAAGTGCCTAGCGCGGCTCCACACAACACGGCAGAATTGCGGGCGTCGGGTTGAATTGTTACGTCGGTGATTTCAAATCTATTGACGCGAGGGCCGCCACCTCTAAACAAAAGATAATCTCGGAAACCTAATCCAGGCGACAACTCTTCATTCATACATTCATTCATTCTAATTCATGCATGTTTCCTTCCTCCCGCACCTCCGACTAGCACGGTTGGGCTACGCACGGTGAGAACGAAGTTTAACAATAGATGACACATTTACTTGCAAAATAACTCCTGAAAAGGGTCCATGGGAGACTTGATGCGACTTGGCATTGCGATGGTTATAATTCCCCGTCGTGCTAACGCTACGGCGGTGTGCGTGTCCCCCGCACCCGCGGGCAAATGTCGCTTGACGTGACGGTAATTCCTTAGCAACCGTGCATTTGTCACATCTGCTCCGTTGTCAAACGGTTCGCGTGGAACATTTGCCGCACATGAATCCGCCGCGGCTTGATGCGCTGCTTCGCATGCGGGTGGGGGGTTGCTGTCCGCGGTGACTGTGACATTCCAGAGCCGATCATCGGTGGGGTTTGGGGTTGGGGGGTGGGGGGCAGGGATGTTTTCACTTCGCCGCCTTTCGCAAATAACGCGCGGACGATGTAGCAGCATCGGCGGGGTCAGCAACAAATTTACGATCACAACCTCCCCCCACCACCCCCGTGGCACACGCACGCACGGGCGTCGTCACGCACCTGTGTGCGCCGTGCGTCACGCACCTGTGTGCGTCGTGCGTCACGCACCTGTGTGCGTGACGCACGACGCGCTGCTCCAGGGTGCGTTTTGGATGGGGAGCTACGGGGGATGAGCTGCAGGAGGCAAGGGGAGGGGGAGGGGCGCGCGCTGTGTTTGTTGGTGTTCACGTTCAGCGTCAGACTCACCGGTTGATGAGTCTCATCAACCGGTGTTAGTTTGCCCTGTTGTCGCGTTCTGGCCCGCCCATGCTGGACATCGGCGCATGCCTCCGGAACGAATAAATATTGTGAGTCTGAAAGCGGGAGCAAGCCGACGCACCGAAATTATGAAGGAAAAAATAAAACACTCGCAAACCCCACTTTTCAAAATGCATTTTATTTTTTTAGGGTGCCGTGACGTGATCGGGCGAGGGGGCAAAAACTTCGTGACTGAGAGGCCAAGGGAACCAGCGGCTCACTGCCACCTACGAGTGTCGCGTCGTCAAACGGAGCGTGTCTAGATAACGCAAACAGGGAAGAGTGGGGGGACTGCAGGCCCCCCCAGTCGCTCATCCGCCCGCGAGCAGACGGCCGACAGCGGGCGACGGCTCTGAACGACGCTGGTGGAGGGAGGCGGGGGGTTGTGTGCATGTTAAACTTCTTTCACACCGTACGTAGCCAACCGTGCTAATCGAAGGTGCGGGGGAAGGACAACAAACTAAACACAAAAAAACAGTTTTATAGAAATGAGGTTTCACTGTAGATGATTTTAAAGTTGCACAGCTCCAGTGGCTTCCAAATATTGGAAGGAAGAGCATTCCAGACGGCCGCAGAAGCGCATTCGAAAGCGCGCGATGCGGTGACCGTCAATGTTCGATGGCCAGCCAAAAGTCGGATGACCGGAGTTCACGCGATGGTGCACGCACACACATACGTGCTCATGCCTACGCTGCCTTTTTGCAGGTGTCACCTGGATCTCCACGGTGCCCACCCTCATGTCACTACCGCCCCCGGTCTCCTACGCGGTGATGCAGCAGCAGCAGCAGCAGCCCGGCTACGCGGCACACGCCGCGCTAGCGCCGACGCTCGTCAGCGCCCCCTCGCCCCAGATGTCCCTGCTGCCGCCGCCGCCGCCGCCGCCGTACTCAGTCGCTGCCCTGCAGCATCCGCCGGCAAACATGACCGCCACCGTGCACCACCACCACCACCCCCACCACAACCACCAGCACCACCACCCCCACGCATTGTACCCGCTGGGGCCAGCGCCGGCGCTACCGCACGCCGCCGGTGGCCTGCCACTACCGCCACAACCGCAGCAACAACTGCAGCAGCAGCAGCAGCAGCAGCCGATGTTTCAGCTGCCGCCCCTCACGGCTGTTGGCAACGGCCTAGCAGGGGGCGAGCCGGGGCAGCCCTACGGTTACAGCTACCCCGGCCTTGCTGTGCTGCCCATGCCGCAGCACGGAGCCCATCCCCAGCAGCAGCAGCAGCAGCAGCTGCTGCTGCCGCCGGTCACCAACGGGCAGCACGGGCAGCACGGGCAGCCGCCCGCCGCGTACCACCAGCCGCAGCAGCCGCCGCCACCGGTCAACGGGGCGCCGGCCTCCGCGCCGGCCCCGCCACCGGCGTATCAGCACGCCGCGCCGGCGGGAGAGGCGACGGCCGGGAGGCCGCAGCGAGCGGAGGACGAGCAGCAGCAGCAGCAGCGGCAGCTCCTGCGAGTGACGGCGAGCGGCGATTACGAGTTCACCGACCCGGCCCACCCCAGAGGTAAGTGGCGGTCCCCACACGCCCGCGCCTCTCCCTTAGGCCGAGCCCCATCGCAGGGAGCGCCGCGGCCACGGCGGCCCGCACCGTGGCCCCGCGTGCGGCCGCTGCCGCGGGGGAGCTGCGGGGACGAGCCGAGGCGCTGCCGGTATTCACGTTCAGCGCCGCCGAGTCGGGAGTCTCGTCCCCTGTGGTTCACCGGTCGTGGTGCCACGTTCCTTGACGTGCAGCGCCCCTCGATGAGCTCACGCACGAGGCGGTATCGTCGCGAAGATTGTGTTCCACGTTACGCACACACCGCCGTGCGACCGACGCACCAAGGCCACCGCCACCACCAATTGCACGTGCAACGCTTCTCAGCCTCTTCGAGTTGCCGGTCTAAACAACAATAACAACAGCCACGCTTGCAGTTCTGCCATGGCTGCTGGCCTAGGCGAGTGTGGTGGTCACACGGGACGTTGCGTGCCTTGTGAGCGGCACACCGTTGCCTGTTGTTGTTGTTTGTTTCCGTTGTTGTTTTTGTTCTCCGATAACGTTCGTTTTTTTTTTACGCCCCCCCCCCGCCCCAAAATGTCCTTCCAGTCGAGTCGATCGCCCGGCGTCGTGCTGTCACCAGAACGGATATATACGGTCGCGTGATGACACCCCCCTCCCCCCCCCCCCCGGTGCCCCCCGTGTGCGAGAGAGAACGGTCCGTGGAAGGTGATGTCACAGAACTACTTCTGAGGCCCCTTCGGTTGCCTCCACATGACACCGCTGCACCGTCCCCACGTGCCCTGCTGAACACGACGTTGTTTGCGCGTGGCAAATCAAATGAAAACAAATAAATTAATCCACCTGGCTGGATTGTTTTGTTTGTTACATATACATAAACTAAGAGGCCCCCTTTGTGCTAGGCCAGGGGTAGGCAACCAAAATAACAAGCAGAGAAATGTTTTTGTTGAATTCGGTAACAAAAAACCCCTCAATATTTCAAGAGCCGCAATGCACTGAGGTGAATACGAGACGGTGGGTCCTTAATAAATAAGGTCACCAATCAGTCCCTTGAAGATCTACGTGTGGCTCTGGAGCTGCTGGTTGCCGACCCCTTGGCCTAGACCCCACTCCCTCCTCTCCCTCCAGACGTGATGACCTGCCAGTCAGCCAGCCAGCCAGCCAGCCAAACTTCATATCAAAACTTCATTGTGACGTTCATTATTGTTTGCGCATGTTACTGGCGATCAGGCGGAGGTCATGAAGTCGGGTACGCTTGAGAACACGGTTTAATCACAGGTCCTCGAAATCCGGACTCGAACCCAGCATCGGCTCGGTGTTACCACCACCACCACCACGGTATTAACCTCCACCTGAGCCACCTGGCCAGCCAGCTGCCATGGCTGCAGTCTCGCTGACCCGTAACACCGGCAAGCCCGATCTCTCCTACAGGACTCTTCGCAAGGCCATCCGGAAGTCGTGGCGGTTGCGGAACGAGGGCCCCGCATGGTCAGGGCTCGTTGCCGGTTGCCAAATGTAAACAAAAACATAAAATGACAAAATGTAATTTAAAAGCGTTCCTTTGCACAACCCGTTGGCCTCACGGCCTCCTGGGAGTGCGTAATTCTCAGCAGCTTTGATTTAGTGCGAGCAAGTCTCTGGACCGGGTTCACAAAGACAAAGATCCCCCCGTATAGCCTTGACGGACTGTCGGGGCGAGTGCTGTTAGCGAGTAGCACCTATGAAGGCCGGGACGGCACACGAGGGGGTGGGTGGCCAACACCACGCCCGGCCGCCTTTGTCTCCCCAGTGGCGACGTTTACACACCGCACCAGGTACTCATTTGAGGCTGAGTCGGCCTAGCGGAGGCCCAGGGCCGGTTCAGATTATGATCACTGGCGATGGACCGTGAGCGGGAATCGAACTTGGGTGGCCGAGTTCGTAGCGCAGCGCGCTAACCGCTCCACCACCGCTCCCCACACATGCGCACGCTACACACGCACACGCATGCGAGCACGCAAGTGGCTTGTCAGCAGAGTCAGGCTGGCTCGAATGAGCGCTGCTGCGGCTGCCAGATGTTACAGGCGAGGGCCAACACTTTAAGTTTACGGGTCCTAGGCTGTTCAAATTGGTCGCTCGTTAAACAGAGACCCCCCCCCCCCCTCCCCTGCTGTTGTGGGCAGACCAACGCTCGGGAGACCTGTGGGGATTATTCACTTTTGGCAGTGCTGGGAAATTGTGGGGGGGGGGCGGGGGAGCTGGGGAGTGGGGGGGGGGAGTGGTGGGGCACCGCCTTCGGCTCCTCCGTGACGCCCGCGGGAAGGGAGTTTCACAACATTCGCGTGGTGATCCACCAACCCCCTACCTCCACAGCGCTGGCTTACAGGCAGCAATGAAGCAGCAGCGTAGCCACCGCCGCTTATTATTAGGCTGATTTATTAAGCGGTTGTTGTAGTTATTTAGATATTCCTTTTCTTTAGATCGCGGAAATATAAACGCGTCGTTAAACCCACCAGCACCGACACAGGCGGTTAGTAAAGTTTGTCACGTAAACAAAACGTTGCCAATTCGTCACTCGCTGAGCACACCGGTTGTGCGTTGGAGAGTAAACCCACTACAACATTTACAATTATAGTGTAGTGTATAGTGTAGTGTATAGTGTAGTGTATAGTGTAGTGTATAATGTAGTGTATAGTGCATAGTGTAGTGTATAGTGTAGTGTATAGTGTAGTGTATAGTGCATAGTGTAGTGTATAGTGTAGTGTATAGTGTAGTGTATAGTGCATAGTGTAGTGTATAGTGTAGTGTATAGTGTAGTGTATGTTGGAGAGTAAACCCACTACAACATTTACAATTCGAGTGCCGTGACGTTTCGCCGGTAATTACAACAACCAGCATCGTCAGGCGAGAGCCACAGAGCTGTGCAGAAATCGGCCAGCATTGTTGGCTTGTTTGGCCGGCGGGGTTTTTAGGAACCGCTGAAAAAGATTCCCGTCCTCACACGGCACCGATTATACCCGAGGACACATCCGGAGGCTTTTCAAAGTGCGCCGTCCATGCAAACAGGCGGTGCATACAGAGAAAATAGAAAAAAATGTGCCAGACGTAAAAAATTGTCCAGACCTTACTCGTTTAAACGTGCGAGTGTGTGTGTAGTGGGGAGCGGCGGTAGTGCAGTGGTTAGCGCAGACGTGGGCAAAGTACGGCCCCCGGGCCGTATACGGCCCGTTGGGCTTTTTAATCCGGCCCGCCGAACTTGTCATGCAATGATTTTTACACGTCATTTATATTAGTTCACACAAACACTTCATCCATCTGTTCCTGGCCCGGCCCCTCTGTCAAATTTTAGAACCCATTGTGGCCCGGGAGTCAAAAAATTTGCCCACCCCTGGGTTAGCGCTACGCTGCGCTACGAACCCGGTGGACCCGAGTTCGATTCCCGCTCACGGTCAACACCAGTGACGATTATCTAAACCGGTGCTGGGCCTCCCCTAGGTCGACTCAGCCTCAAATTGGTAGCTGGTGCGGGACTTAAAACATCGCCACTGAGAAGACAAAGGCGATCGGGTGTGGTGCTGGCCACCCAACCCCTCGTGTGCCATGCCGGCCTTCATAGGTGCTACTCACTAACAGCACTTGCCCCAACAGTCTGTTCAGGCTATACAGTACGGGGGATCTTTGTCTTTATATATATTTGTTCTTTTTTTCCCCCCACCGTTATGTCTAATCGGGAAATGAGCCCATCGTGCCTTTAACACTGACTTGCGACCACCCCTCTGCGAGCAGGCGAACCCCTGCGCGAGCGATGAGGAGGCTCTGCTCACTGCGACACGTTGCAATCTCGTCCGTGCGCCAAACCGCGCTTTCCTTTTCACAGCGGCCGACCGAAGGGGCGCTCCCCGCGTGCGCGCGTTCCACGCCGTGTGTCCGTGGCTCCCCGCGGGCGCACGGAAAACAAGGCAACCTCAGAGTCGCGTTGTTCACACAACGGCGACAATGACGGCGATTTCGACATTTAACGCCGCCGCACGCCCTTCGCTCGCTCGCCCTCCGTTCGCTCGCCCTCGGACAGAGAGAGAGAGAATGGCTCGCAGACGCGAGCGGCAGCCACGGGATGAGCTGCCGCCAAATCTGCCCCCACCCCCACCCCCCACCCCCCAAGCTCTGCGGTCCTATGTATATGAAGATGTTATCGGCTCAATTGTGAATGTTTACATGTGGGAGGAAAGCGTAATCGTCCGAAAACCAAAAAAATCCTCGCGTGAACGAGGGGGAAACGCTCGATCCCGTACAGACAGGGACAGGCGGAGTCCACATTTTGGCTGCGCAGCCTTTTCCTGGCGAGCCAGGGGTATGGCTCCTCTACGACACCCTCGGGAAGGGAGTTTCACAACATTCACGCAGTGATCCACCAACCCCCTCGCTGCTGCTGCTGCCTCCACAGCACTGGCTTACAGGCAGCCACGAGCATCAGCGTAGCCACCGCATTTTCTTTCATTCCTTATTTTGACCTACAAAGTCGGCTACAAAATTGATGCTTGCGAGACGGAGATTGCTTATAATGAGTGTTGTCTTCTCTCCTTCGATCTGCAATCTGTTGTTGCTGCTGCTGCTGCAGGTTTTTGTTTTGTTGTCAGGCTCCCTGCGTGATGTGCCTCGCTCTCGTTGCGTTTGTTGGGAATGATTGCGAAACACGTACATAGGAAACGAAATGTACGTACATAGCCAGCCGTGCTAATCGGAGGTGCGGAAAGTGGCCGAGGCTTGATTTAAATCATTGAGTGGCGTGGCGGACGCATGATTTTACCAGGTCGGCCATCAACAGCGATCACCGTTGCCATTAATCAGCCGTCAGGACCAGACGGTGTTCGATAATCACCCCCTAACCAGCCGCCGCTCCCGCACAGCCAAGAATTGTGTAAAAAAATGTTTTCGTGTTCAGAAAATCACGAATGAGAACCACGGGGTTTGTAAATAAGACCTTAATAATTCTGTACGCGGGTATTGCCTCGTCATTCACGAGGGACATA